ACCAGACCTGGAGAAATGGCTCCCCCGCCCCAGTGGGGAAGAGAGACCTGGCAAGCCCTGACAGCTTTGGAGGCTGTTCTGGTACTAGCTCTTGTTGACCAGGTTGGTCTGGAACTCACAGAGATCTGCCTGCCTCTGCCTTGTAAATGCTGGGATTAAAGGCATGCCTCACCAATGTCCAGCTTTGACTGCTTCTTCATTTTATGAAAGTCTTTCCACCCTTGACTTCCATCATGTTAACACATTTTCCTCCTGCCCCTGCTGGTACCACAATCTGTAAAGTGGTTTCCCGCCTGGCCACTCAGATTCCCAGACTGTGTACACTAACAGAAGCCTTTTATAGGCCAAATAATCTCTTCTACCTCATTCAGAGATTTTAAACAGTTTGTTCTAAAGATAAGAGAGGTCATGTTTTGATTAGTAAAAGTGCTTGAATAATAATTGTCATCTAATAATAGTATTTTCACATGTGATAAATAGCAATATGAATTGTATGGTATTTTTTATGTTTCATGTGACAACGTTTAATGCTTTTATATCTTTCCATTGATGGACAATAAATGAAAAATATTGCTAACTTTAAAAATCAGATATATATTTATCAATATAATTTTTAATGTTTATATTTTCAAATATACTATTAAGTTTTATATATCTAGAGTGTTTTTGTGTGTGTATGGTTTTTTGTTTGTTTGTTTTCTTTTGTTTCTTTCAAGACAGGGTTTCTCTGTGGCTTTGGAGACTGTCCTGGAACTAGCTCTGTAGATCAGGCTGGTCTCAAACTCACAGAGATCCATCTGCCTCTTCCTCACTAGTGCTGGGATTAAAGGCATGTGCCACCACCGCCTGGCTTCTAGAGCTTTTGAATGCTAAATTTAATATTTGCCTACATAAGAAGATAAGCTATAAATTAGTGGTCACTTATGTGGACAGGTAAGAAAGAAAGAAAAAGAATCTTTTGGTAAACATTTTTTTATTTTCTGTTTACTGGCTCTCTGCTAGAAATTTGGGGTTTAAAATTGAAGATGATATTACACACCTGTTATCCCAGCAGTTGGGCAACAGAGCCAGATGAATCGTTGTGAGTTCAGGGTCAGCCCAGCCTACATAGTTCCAGGGCAACCAGGGCTACATAATATGACTGCCTCTAAAACAAAACAAAGCAAATTAAAATGGAGAGGCACAGGACATAGCTCAGTACTAGTGCTCTTGCCTAGCATGTGTGAGGTACAGGCTTTCATCTTTAACTGCATACACCAACACAAATCAAGATGAATAAGGTACTAGGTTTTATTTCCCAGCACAGAGCATACACACTTGAGGATGCATATGTACCTACATAATATTAACTGCCTGTTAGGCTGTATTAAGGCTGCTTTGGTCAAGCTTTTGGAATCAGGTTTTGAGTAGCATACTTCCTTGTGTTTATTCCCATACTGATAGAACGAGGATAGTATCATTGTAAGGCTTAAATGACACCCATGTAATGAACTTTATTTCACACACAGTATTTGTTTGTTAGCTTTGCACCATTTAAACACAACTCTTGAGATAACTTACAAAGAAGAGGTTTATTTAGGGTACAGTTTTGGAGATTCCCATCTGTCATTGTTCAGCCATGTTGGTATGGACTTCTGATGCTGCAAATGTTTATGAAAGCAGATCTTTCTACTTTCCCAAGAAAGTATAAACCAAAGGAACATGCAGGAACTTAGTAGACAAACCTGTCAGCTTTGCTCAGTTTAATTAGCTTTTGACCAGTTTTTTTTTTTTTCAATCTAAGCCACACTAACTCCTAGTGGATAGTTAAAAGATGGAAATAAATTCTTGTTGCAAGAGAACTTCTAATTGAAACATTTTGTACTTTAGTGGTAGACTTTTGGGGGTCTGTGGTAGAGAATGATTTCTACTTGACCCACTGTGCCTCTTTGCACTGGACTCTCAAGCAGCCGTCTTGCAAGTGCTAGTGAAGACAGAAGCAGCCATGCATGAAGCTCAGTAGACGTACGTGCCTTCTTGGGATGCCATGGTGAGGAGAAGACATCTGAAGTGAAGGTTGAATTTCCTCTGTTGGTGTGGAAAATTACTAATTGTAGAAATTCTTCCAAGATACTATTTTCAAATGATAAATGAGTTGTCAGATGGGGTGATTCCAGTCTGTAACCCAGTACAGGGACTAAGAAAGAGCATGGGTTCAAGGTAGCCTAGGATATATAGTGAGTAGACAAACAGACTATAGCTTGGGCTACATTCATTAAGAACTTGACAAAGAACAAAATCTGAATGTAAGTTTATACTTATGAAGGGATGATTTTCAAGTTTCAAAGGGGCTAGAGAGTGTTTACTGAGGTAATAAGCAGGATAATAAGCATTTTGGCACTTCTTACATATATTAGGTTTTCAGTACCCATTAGTATTAAAATCTCTAGGCTGATGGTGATATGAGGAATTCAGCAGAGTAAGAGTGGGAGATAGAACTCTATATAAAGCTGTGATTTTTGTACAGAAAATTGTTGCCTACAGTAAGAAAGGGCTGACATAATCCTGCTCCCTATCATAGCCCCAAGACCTCATGCAGTGTATACTAGAGGCTCTAAAAGAAGGAGGACTCCCATGCACCAAGGTCATTGAGTCTTGTGTTTCTCCTAAGCTCCTAGACTGAAGATTTACCCAGGACAGAGAAACCTTTAGCAGCATGTGCATTCTATATAAATCCATCCCATAGACTACTGAAGTGTCCTTATCATTAGCTGTTTGATAGGGGAGCAAAATGCAGTTGACTTAAGCTTTAAACCTCAATTCTCAGTTCTTATTTTAGCTTGGGCCTTCTTAATTGCTGGCAAAGCTGTTGGACAAGCTGATTTCTGTAAATTTGTTTCCTTATCTCTATAATGGGGAAATCATGACGCTATTTTTGGACAGTTTTGTGTTGGTGTATATAATGTCCTCAGGACTTACTGTATACTTAATTCATTGGATCTTGCACTGCCCAGAGAAGAAAAGTGGATATTGTTTAAAAAAAATTCTCTGTCTTTAAAGACCTTTCTAGTTGGCATCTATGTTTTCTACAAATAAAACTTACAAAGGGTTGCGGCAAATACCATTTTAGTGCAAGGAGTTATACACCAATGAGATGGGTGGGTTTGACAGTCTGGAACTGTTTGTAAAGTGCTTATTTTGACGGTTTCCCTTGGTGGATACAGAGGAGGGTAATAAAGAGGGATGATTATTTTGAGGGGAGTTAAAGGAAAGCAGTAAGAATCTACTATGATTGGTTGGGACATTTCTTTAAAGACACACCAAAGCTGACATAGTTCTCATCACTCCCTAAAAACTAGATACTTGGTCTTTCTTTTATTCATGTCCTATCATTTAATTTTAAAACTCAAAACACATTCTTAGTCTCAGTGATTTGAGATGAATTTAATTATCTGAGGCAGCGAAACATTTGAAGCCAAAATGAATCAATTATGGAGCAGACTAGTTTGTAAAAAGAATGTTATAGATATAAAACTCTTGAGTTACATGTCTTTTAGCTCCTTTAAACTAAATTCCTGAGAGTCCCGAAATATTCTGTATAAGCCTTGTTGAAGGATTTGTGTGTCAAACAAGTAGATTGAATTGTTCAGAGTTGAGAAAAGCTAGTGGTTGTTGGACACAAATCCCAAAACCACCCATGGATAGAAACAAATCATGTCTATATATATCTCATTTGTGTACTTGGGATTTAGAAATTTTCTGTCCCTTCTTTGGATGTAATTGTTCTCCATAATTTAAGTTTTAAGCAAAGTTTATTAATATTAGAGCCATTTGGAATCTTTAATGTTGGTATATGCAACACATATTACTCAGAAGTGTTGGTAAATTCTATGTGTTACATATTTGGAAAGGCATGTTGGATTTTATTATAATGTCTTAGGTTATAAGTATAAATAATTTTTTTGAATTTAAGAAGATAAATTTTTGAAGTAATGATTTTTACCCCTAATTTTTTTAGACAGAATATTGGTGAAAGTATTCTTTACCTGTGGGTGGAGAAAATAAGAGATGTTCTCATACAGAAATCTCAAACAGAGCCAGGTAAGACTGAGTGATTTTTTTTTTTTTTGTCTTGTAATTTGGAGTAGTTACATTTTTTTTTTCTTTTCGAGACAGAGTTTTTCTGTGGCTTTGGAGGCTGTCCTGGAACTAG